GATGACCCTCCGGAAGTAGATCCCCAATAATTGCCATCATAGCATCGAAGCAGGCTCGAGTCATGTTGTGCTGGGACTTCAACCCCAGTAGGCGCCCAATGGCATCCAGTTGAGAAACCGTTGTCTTCTCATGTAGGAACTTCTGTGCCGAATCCAACATGACCAAGAATGCCTTAACGCTTGGCTCTGGCTCCTCCTCCTCATCCTCCTGCTCGTCCTTCGTAGGTCTTTCAGCGAACGTCGCATCCTCATAGTCACCTAACCATCCTGCTACCCCGCCATCACCATCAAATGCCTCCAAGCCTCGTCTCACGACCTCCTCTCTAGGACGGTAGGCTTCACCATGGTGCACCCACCAGGTATAGTTTGGCATAAATCCATACTTGCAAAGATGCTTCATCATGACTTCCCTTGTTCTTCTTTTCTTGTTTTCACATTCGCTGCAGGGACAAAACGTGTCTCTCGCTTCCTTAGCTGCCTTAAATGCATGGTCCAAGAATTTCTCGGTCTTATCCATCCATTCACGGGTGATTTGAGCCTGACTTGGGCGTCCCGTGTACATCCACTCACGGTTATCCATCCTCTAGCATATACACATAACGGAGTAATATAACCATCAGTCGCATCTGCACAGAATGCCTACTGTCTAATAGGTGAGGATAGGTCCTAATCCCACCCGCGAATGCGTAGATGAGGTTAGTTTCCATGCTCTACTCTGATCCAAGACAGAATTTTGGCAGCACCTCCCCGCTGCTCTCCCGATACACGTCTTGGCAGGGAGAGTGTGTATTCGAAGAGCAACAGGGAGGTGGTGCCGAAACTCCATCTCAGATCTGAGCAGAACATGGAAACTAACCCATCTACGCATCCGCGGGCTGTCCAAACAACGTGGACAATCCGAAACATATACGGTCATAAATATGCAAAGATCCGCATACCTCCAACCGTATCTGTTTCGGATAGGAGACGCCTAACTGGGTTACGCGACCTAAGACCATGATACAGATAGAGGGGTAATACCTAGGGTGCTGGTGAGGTCAGGCTAGCGGGGCGGAGGCGAGTCGGTGCAGTGCTGACGCGACGCGGTGCAGGCAGACCCGCAACGCCGACGAAGACGATCGGGTCGCCTAGGTCCCTCCGACAGGTCCTCCTCCTGCATAAAAAGATAATACATTAGTGTCAATTGAAAATTTCGGCAGAACCTCCCCTGCACGGGGAGGTTCCCAAAACCTGTAGAAAACATAGGCACGGATTAACTATCGATGACGATCCAGTAAAACGTAGATTAATATATAGTACTGAACTTCATCGGCAAAATTGTTTCCTAACATGAGCAAATCACCTAGTCTTTGCGTGCAGTTGGCAGCAGTTCATATATGGTACTGAACTTCATCCATTCCTTGACTAGACATAGATTCATGAAAAAATTAACAAACCTGAGTGCAGCAAGGCTCTCTCAGTCTCCTACTAGATGTGCAGCTAGATTAACTGAAGACACCACATATCAGCTCAAAGCCTGAAGATGTGAACATAAACACTGCAACAATATAATTCAGCAAAGGAACATTAGGTTACAGGATTTTGCACAACCTCTATAAAGAATTTCAGATATCACAGGATTTGACTCTAAGTAGATGCCTCTACATAAGAGATCACCATGGAACCAAATGACTAGAAATGACAGGCTTATTACCTGAACCATTCTGATACATGTTATCTGCTAAGTTTAAATTTAAGGTCACACATCTGTCTACTAAGTAAAAGCAAATGGGTTTTAATTTAAGATCAATCATCTGCAATGATAATACTTTAACAAGGCATACATTGCATAAATTCAACTAACAAATAGTTCTTACTTGATTTACTTCACACAGTAAGGTGACAAAGATGGGCTGTATTGAAAGTATTAAATTGAAGCAGAAGCAGATGCGTCCTCTGCCGAGAACTAGAATAGATCTTTCCTATGCTAACCATATTATAAGCAGAAATGCTACACAAACAAACAAAAAAATTTATATGCTTTCATTTAGTGCTTAGTAGTTCAACCATTGCCGCTTCATTATAGGGTAAATCTAATAGCAAAGCCAAACTGTCTATGGATCAGTCAAAATATATATTGTGATACCATTGAAAGCACACTACAGCTATCTGTATAAGAATTTACATAGAACTTACAAAGACAACACGAAAATATCACCTCAGTTGCCATCAGTTTATCCAAGCACATGGCTGAAACCTTTCATAACACAATTAAGGTTTGACATAAAAGATAATTGTAATCTATGCAGTCTTTCTAACGACAATATAAGCACAAGCTAAGCTCAAAAGGGTCAAAATATTATACTATTGACCAAAAGAATCACAATTATGCCCAATTATTCAGTCTGGAAGTGTTGAGCAAGTAGTACAAGTTAATTAGGTACCAACATATAATAATTTTAATAATATTAGTGGAATCTCAAGATATATATGCATACAACATATAGTATTTTAGTAGAGCAGATATATATAGCACCCTTTCATATGATTCCAGCTGGAAATATAAAGAATCACTCAAAGAAATAAAGCTACTTTGTTATCTACTAAATTGTTACGTCTTATAAGAATATAATAATGCACTGGAAATAGATAGCTACTTAAAAGTTATCACCAATAGCTAACTCATGAAAAGGATGTTTCCTAAAGCTAAATATAGCTTTTAATTATTAATTGCTCTCAGTTGTGATAGGGGTACAAGCAGCAATAGGAATGTAGAACGCCTCTACTCCTACTATATATATAATAGTCACTGCTGTACTATTTTATTATTTTCACTTGAATGCTAAACTGCTACTTGTAGTATTGTGATGTCATTCTAAACATAAAGCTTGAAGCATGATTTTGCACATTCACAGGATACATGATTTACATCATGGAAAGAACCACTCAACAGAAACTGCTCATGCAGCCATTTCAGCACAAATGTGCAATTCTTCACTTGGTCCATTAAGAAGATTTGGCATGGGTACCTAATTACATGGATCATAAACCACTATTACCAGCTACTGATCATTAATTAGTCAAAACTAACATGAAACAAACTCTAAACAAACCTAAGCATGTGGACAAGTTTATTTGGAGTGAGCCTAATCATCACCTTAAACTTGCTTCCTCTAACACACAGCACACATCCCAAATTGTATGCTAGGGGTGGAAACTCTTGCATGTCCGTTTTGTGTGGCGTGAGCTACTTCCGGAAAGTGGTCATTTTATCTGGCATAGCACCATAACATGCACTCTTATTAAATTGTATGCAGCAGTCACCAAGCGTTTTTTCCCTTCACCACTCCATGCATAACTGATCTGTAATCATGCACATTGGCGCAAGATAAAGCTAATGGAGAACATGGATAGCAGAGCAAGTGGCTGCTGGTAACAATGGCTGGCAAGCTGCAAGGACAACAGCGAGCAAGCTGCCGGACTGGGAACTATTCCCAGGAACAGAGCAAGAACGATGTACGCGACCCTAGCTTTATTGATTTGGCAAAGAATAAGACTATGGGTCGCAAAGCAGCACCAGATCAGGACAAAGCAAGTACTAAAAAACTGGGGGACCAAGCCAGATCTGGAGGATAAAGAAACCACCTTTGAAAAGCACCTCGGTCAGGGAAGCAGGGACCACGCGCACGTGCACGGGAGTGAGGACCAGCTATCAGGACTCCCGTCGTGACCTTGAGGGAAAGCACGTGGTCACGTCGGGGGCCGCCGGGCGCGCGGACACAGCGAGCGTCAGCCGCACGGGCGCTAGCTGCTGATGGGATGGGCCGTGGCGCGTAGACCGAGCGGGCGCTGGCAAGCGGCCGGAGCGAGAGCTGGCCGCACGAACGCAGCACGCGGTAGGGTGGAGACGGCCATGGCCACGCGTCAGGGCCGGCCGGGCGACCGTCGCTAGCTGTCGCTGGCTAGGGGTTGGAGACCAACGCGCGGTCAGCAGGGCGAAGCTGCAACGCGTACTGGGGGCGGGTAAGAGAATCGTGGGCCCCGCGGGTAAGGGAATTCGGGCGCGGCCAGATCGATCTGAGCTGAACTAAAAATTTCAGTTGAGGTGGAGAAAAATTCCAGGGAAGGATCGTCTGTATGTACATCGATATTTAACGAGAAATTCCAGCTCCGGAGGACAATAAGTCCAGAGAAGTGTCCTCTGTACAAGATCAATAATTAACTAGAATTTCCGGCTCGGGAGACGAATAATTCCAGGTAATGTACTGAGAAGAAGTGAGAAAACAAGTGCCCTGGACAGTAATGACCAACAAGCAAAAGGTGAGGTTAATTCTGTGTACTTATGAATTTTTCTGTATGCTTATGATGATCTGTCAAACTTACAGTTGATGTATGTTTATAAATTAATTTGGTTGTATGTTTCTGATATATAGTCTGTGTACTTATATTTTGTAGGGCCTAATTAATTAAAGCACAAACACATAAGTCATAGGACTAGTTTACAGGATATCAACTCAAAAGACAATAGTTCACAATATATGTTCAAATCACAAAAAAGAAACAGCCAAAGAATAATATATGTTCACAAACATAAATAGTTCACAACAGATTTAGGCGAGCACTCATAGTTCACAACATAAATAGATGGTTCACAAACCCAACACAATGATCTAGTCATACATCAGCTAGGACCAACAAAAGCTCTACATTTGACATCAGACTACTTCCAGAAATTAGCGATTGTCATGCATCAGGTAAGCAACAGACTGCTTCCTGTAAGATGACATTCGACACCATTCACTACTTCCAAATTTTGCTCATAAGACAACCAATAGCTACACCTACACACACGGTTGCAATAATAACGTAGTCCTTCTTCAAAATCTGTACTTGCACCTTCAACTGCCAAAGATCAGTAACAACACTATCAAGTTTTGCCTTCATTACATCCAAATCATGCTTCAGGTCCAAATTGCTGTCGTTTTAATTGGACAGTGTTATACACAAGGATTGAAGCTGAACTAAATGTACCCTTCTGGTGACTCAAGTACTTCGATTATTTGGTCCCAACTTGTTGGTCTGGACAAAGGTGCTGGTGAGGCAAATGGATCATCTTCCCCGTACAGTGGTGAGTCCGGTGGCGAGTCCGGTGTTAGGGCGAAACTTGAATCTCCTGATGAAGAGCCGGGTGATTGAACTGTGTAACCTGCATGACAATCCGCATGAGGTAGTTTAATAATAGGATTGTGATACATCTCAAGTATGTGGTTAGGGGCGATGTATAAGATGGTTGTACCATACCTAACTGCAGAAGAGCCAGTTGCTGTCCACCTCCACCTGCTTGCCCAGAAGTCCCTGCACCGTCCATTGGGAACAGTGTGTACCGAAAAGGTGTGTTGATCATAGCTGCAATAAGAGTGAGATTTGTTAGAGCAAACAATGTAACATTAATGTTGCAAAGGTTCTGTTGTAACTGCAGTTACCGTTCTGTTGTGCCCAGATTGTTGAGTTGGGACCCGGTGCATATCCTTCTACGTCCATCCAAATTGGCCACATGTAGAGCACAGTGCCTCTGCGGATGGCTACATTCCATGTAGAAGGTATATCTTCTCGGGATGCATATGTCTTGAAGGTTGCAGTGAGATCCTCCTTATTCAATTTTGGATACAACACAACAACCTTGTTCGCGAAGACCGTACTTAAGGCTTAGCGACGAGCAAATGTGGTGGCAGTCCATGAACGGTAACCTTGAGATGTTCCATAACTTCTTCTCCTCGTTGGCGTTTAGCTGGTGTCAGAGTTGGGGATGGGGGTGGCAGTCCATCGAAGGGTAGTATTGCACAACCATGCTGGGGAGTCCATGGATACGTGACAATCATTGCGCCCCCAATGTCAATTTCTGGTGTTCTCAAGATTTCAGTGGCTTGCTCTGTTGAACTGCCCCACACCAGGTAATCTGGATCATGTCGTAGAATATTCTCCAAAGCAACATTAACCCCACAGATGTTGACAATTGCATGGTGTATCAGGATGCGATTAATCCGGTCCTGGTTTGCTGTTGTTGGGACCTTGAGAAGTACTGTGCAGCCAAACCATTCTTTCGCATCCATGGAGATCTCACTGTCGTGGAAGATTGTGATGGTGTCCATCCGACAGAAAAACACCATCACTCTCTCCTCCTACAAAATAAGAAACAAAAGATTGTCAATTAAGAAACACAACATTATATAAGTTGAAAATTTCAGCAGCACCTCCCCTGTACTGGGAGGGTTCCCAAACCTGCAAGAAAAACGCCGGCACGAAGTCCGACAGCCACATTTCTGGCACAATGGCCCACACATCAACATTTGCGGCACGAAGGCCACCAACGACATACATGGCACGACGGCCGACAACCGGGGAGGGAGGGGGCTTTACCTTGGGTGGCGGTGGAGTCGGGCGACGCGGAGTCGGGATCACCTTCGTCTCCGGCTAGACGCGGGGAAAACGGCATGGATGACCGTGGGGCGTGACGCATGGGCGCGGGGGCATCACGGTCGTCGACCTCTCCTTCTCCCCGCCTCTTCTCCCTTCCTCTTCTCCCCTCCTCTCTTCTCCTTCTCCTCTCCTTCTCCTCCTCCTCTTCTCCCCTCGTCCTCCCTTCTCCCTGCTCCTCTTCTTCTCCCCTTACCCTCTCTTCTCTCTTCCTCCTCCTCCGCCGCTCTGCAGAGCCGAGCCGGTGTGCGTGGGGCTGGCCGGGGAGCGTGGCCGGGTGGCGGCGGGGGTGGGACGTCGGGGAGCGTGGCCGGGGGGCGGGGACGGTGGGCCACCGGCGAGCGTGACCGGGAGGGGCGGTGCGTCGGAGGCCGATGGCGTGGGGCCTGACCAGGAGGGGCGGGGCCGGGCTCGGGCGGCGTGGGGACGGCGCGGAGACAACGGCAGCGCTTGGCGGGGCGGGCCGGGCTCGGCCGGGGCGGGGGCTGGGAGGGGCTGAGGTGGGGGGGAGGCGCGGGGACCGGCGGCGGCGGCATGGGCAAGGTGGTCGGGAGCGTGAGAGTGTGAGTGTGTGAGTGTGGGTGTGAGTGTGTGAGTGTGAGTGTGGGTGTGAGTGTGGCCGGATGAGTAGATGAGCGTTGGCCTTGGACGAGGCCCCGAAACAACCGTTATAATTTCCTCCGCGTGGGGGTTTCTTTTCGCTCGCTCGCTCCCTCCCGCCCACCTGCGCGGCGCTAGGGTTCGCCGCGCGCCGCCGGGGCTTCCCTATTCCGCCGCCCCGCCCACGCCTCCCCTGCCGCCCGCGCGGACGCTCGCGTCGCTGGCGCGCCCCACGTGGCGTCGCGGCCAGGCCAAGCCACGCCCCATTCCCCGCGCGGCCACTCCGCCCAGTGCCCCACCCAATTGGCCGATTGGAGTTCTTTGCTTCAACTCAGAGCAGAGGTGATTAGAAATCAAATCCCTCCCTTTGTAATTTTGCAAGTCAAAGATCATGACATCATCGGTTGCTATCAAGCAATGAGGGATCGAAGAGTTAAAATTTAATTGTAATTTTCTTCCGATATTTTGTAATCTCAATTTGTTATGGAACAAATTTAGTTTCAACTATATGTATCTTTTATCTAAGCTCATCTGAATGTTTTGTATTGTTCATCCAAATATTTTCTTGCCATGGGCATACCCTGCTCTCAATTTCTGGGTCCCCCACTTATTCCATGTCAGTATTGTCTGATCTGTATGTATATGATCTATGTCTTGCTGGCTTGGCTGATCTGTAGTGCATTCCTGTGTGATTTGGTTTGGAATCAAAGAATCTGTGAGCACCGATTGTAACTGACTGGCACTATTTTCCTGCTTTTTCTGTATACTAGATTAATGTCCGTGCGTTGCAACGGGTGCAATACAAAATTTCATAAGGTAATTGGTGTTATCCGAAAATCCTCAAGTCAAAATGAAGATATAAATGATTACTTGCCAGCGTTTGGTTTTGGTGCCTGACGAGGTCTAGCTTTGGAGGATTTATTTGCTTTAATTTTGACTTTATGTCCTAGCAGATCAGTAATATTTGGGCTCCTAAGTAAAATGCTAACTCCTTGAATGAACCCAGGACTGGTCATAGTCCATTCGATTGACTCAGTAGTATCTCACATCCCACACATAGGGAGCCCTTCTTTTTACATACAAATAAAAGAAGGAAAATTATTAGGAACGACAGATATTAATCAGGAACATGCATCTGAAAGTTTAGCATCAGTGTCTTGGTGAGTTTCAGAATTCAGTTACTCGGATTTGCACAATATTTCATTACTTGGGATGCTTGATTAGTATATTGACTTTACTTGTATCTTTCTAATTATTCGAAATATTTTTACTTATATAGTAGATGACGATCATGATTTCTGATATGTGTATAAACCAATATACTAAGAAATAATCTTTGATATCAATGTTATCAATTTCGCCACACCTAAATTTTTTTCCTTCCTCCGCCACTGGTCCATGTCCTCTATTAATAGCTTTATCTTGCGCCATATCTCATACTTGTTCTTGCTTAATCTACTGCAGGATGGGTCGCAAGAAGGTGGTTCGCCCTGAAGATGAGTCGGGTAATGGAGATGCTTCTCTGCCTCGCCCCAAGAGAGCGAAGCAGCCCACTGCTAAGCCTCCACGCAACAAGCGCAAGGTGTCAGCAGGACGTGGCAAGAACTCCTTCCGCAAAGCAGCGGATGACTTGTACTTGCCCAATGTGGATGTCGAGTTGGTTCCTGTGACTGAGCAATTGTTCACCCATCCAGGCGATCGGCGTTTTATGGATGACGTTCATCCGCCTCGCCCTAAGGACTATTTTAGCAACCAAGGAGAGGTCTTTGGCAAAAGGTTTGAATGTCCATCTGAATCTCGAGATGCTGATTTTCGTGATCCTCGCTTTGGGACTGTCTTTCAGCTGGACTACTATGATTCAATGATCCTTTCCAAGAGTCAGCCAGTGGTTTTACAGAAGTACATTGATTGGGATCATTGTGTCAAATTGGGTGATCCTGAGATGACTAGAGCTCTTGAAATGTTGGAAAGGCGTAATTTCAAGAATCTCATGACCATGCAGTATCCATGGAGCAATGAGGTCATTGCATAGTTCTTTGCTACTGTTTGGTATGAGAAGGCCACAGCTGATCATTATGGTTATATGCATTTCTCCATTGAAGGTCAGCCCTATTATGTCTCTTATGCTTGCTTTGGCAAAATTCTTGGATTTGAGTTTGATGACATAGACAAACATCGGCTTAATTGCAACCCTCACCGTGATATTGATCTCTCTTTTGCTTACAATGAGGATGCTACTGCCGATGACTTCTACACCGTCAACAACATGAGAAAGGTTTATCGCTATTTTAATTTGTTGGTCCGGCAAACTTTGGTTCCCAAGATTGGTGGTGCTTCAGTGATTTTATCTTCTATGGGTCCCTTCTTGAAAGCTTTTCAGGAGGGTAATGAGGAGGATTTCAGTGCTTTTGGCTTCATTTATAGGCAGATTCAGTTGACATCTTGGGATCCTAAGAAGTCCTGTACTCATGCTCCCTATATCATGAAGATGATTGAGGTAGTCACTCAGAAGGAGTTCATCAAAGAAGTGAGCCATGAGCCTTACCGACCTGTGAGAATTAGTGAGATAGCAAAGAGGAGAGGCCGCAAGCCCAGTCAACCTCGGCCTCAGTCTGTGCCTTTGCCTTCCTCCTGTGCCACAGCTGCAGCTTATCCTGAAGACGTCCAAGGTCTTCTCTTGCAGGGTATGCGCTCTGTGTTTGGGATGTCCATGGCCATCTATGAGGCCAACAGAGAGCACCACAGGTTTGTCCAGGAGGAGCTTCACCGCGCTGAGGTCCAACGCAAGATGATTGCCGAGCACGTAGGTGTGACTTTGTCCCTAGTTCGTCCTCTACCTCCAGCACCTCAGCAGCCCGAATGGTGGAATCCGTTGTTTCAGTAGTCTTTTGTGCAGCCACAGCAGACACAGTTTGACACCGACGAGCAGCCACAGGCCTCGTCCCATGTTCAGCAGGGTGTTGGTGGCAGCTCGTCCTCTGGATGGGCTTCCGCCACCTATGGTATAGCTGGTCACTTTCTTCGGGCCTGCCTTCGACGTTCTCTACTCCGCCTCCTATCCTTCTACTTCCGGTGGACAGCAGCCCGGTGAGACCCAGGAGGATGACGGTGTCAACCCTTCTACTTCCGGTGGACAGCAGCCCGGTGAGACCCAGGTGGATGACGGTGTCAACCCTTCTACTTCCGGTGGACAGCAGCCCGCCGAGTGAGGCGCACGTGTTCTTCAATGACATCTTTCTTTTTGGTGCTTGACGCCAGAGGGGGAGAAAATATATGTTTGCCTCATTTATCTATATGCTATTTATGTATGGACCTTGGACTTGTATCATGATCTATATCTCTTGTTGACTTCTATCTATATTTTGGGCTTGTATGACTATATATTGTGATGAACTATGTGTGATTTTTAGTTGGTACTTAATGGTTGTAAGGACATGTTAATGTTAGTTTGCTTATCTAATATCATATCACTTGTGATGGTGTATGCCTTCATTTATTTGTTGTGTGATATTCATGTCATATGCATCATGATTATTTTTGTGACACCTTTGCACACCTAGGAAAGCATGCATGTATATGATTTGTTTCCTAGCACTTTCACTAAAATTGTGCATATATATGTGGCCTTTTATGCCAAATTGTAGATTCAAAACATATATGCATATATTTAGGGAGAGCTTGTCATATCCAAAGTGCCAAATTGTGAGCTTTATATGTGTTGTTATCAATCACCAAAAAGAGAGAGTTTGTAAGTGCAACAAATCCTATTTGTGAGTTTTGGTGAATATAATGACAAAGCAATAAAGAGCTAAGGATGTTTCGTGAGATTTTCATTTAATCATCGATGTGAAAAGTCCAAATGAGAAATGGGAACCCTCAATTATTACTTCAAAGCTAGTAAGTCATGCTTCAACTTGAGATAATTTCATTTTATTTTAACTTCTCTTGATCAGTGATAGGATGCCATACTGTACAGAGGCCGGGATTGAAATTATATCACTTGCAGGTGTCCTAAGTGCTCAAAAGATCAATTCTATTTTCTCTAGACACCTTCCTAAAATCATCCTTGACTTATATTTTCTGGTCCAAGCTA